CCATTGCACAAAGGCTGCTGTTGTGTAACCTTGCACAAAGGCTGCTGATTAATTTATTTAAAATTAAATCATCCTTTTGTGTGTTGCGGTTATGGAGGGGGAGGATTGTGCTGTGAGTTTTTATCCTGCTCTGCAATAACTTGACCTTGTACAGGGAGTGTAGCTGCTTTGCTTTCAGGAGGTCAGCAGTGACACAGCAGCCTTTCAGATGAGGCAGACAACATTATTTCACTGTAGTGCAATTAAGTCCCCAATGGCAGCTGTTATTGCCAAGTACCTAGTTTGGAGTTGTGACTGTTCTGCACATCTATTTGTGGAATGAAGTAAAATGTTCTATGAGCAGCAAGTCCTGCTGAACTTTCTCTATAAAAGTCCCCCCCTTTGATCTAAGACAGATACCCAAAATATTCAGCCTGGTTTAATACTCACTAGACAAAAGACAAACATTACAGCTTCTGTTAATTAAAACATCTTATATGGTATCATCCACCTTATGTGACATTACAGTTGGGGTTGTATCACTATCCTCATTATGAATCTGATTTTTCAGAAGGTTCATCTTAGAATCCCTTAATTGGGGTCCTGTCTCGTGCCATATCGAATGCAGGTCCCTCATCTGTTGTGGATTAATCCCTTGCCTAGCGTTTGTGTTTTAAAAGCACAAAAATCCTTGTAAATGGTCAAAATCTTTTGGGGCCAGATTCCCAAGTAAGATTCTTACTTATATCAGTCTTTCTCCATTGTAACCAGTGTCACTTCTGACTCATAGCAGTGTAAACTGGTAGAAGTTCAGAATCAGGCTCCTTGTATTTATTTAACATTTGTAGTCATGTCACTTTAAGGAATCTGGCCCTCAAACCAGCCAACAAGATTAAAACAGCCTTTGTGGACTCAGATCTTGAGGTAAACACAACTTTTTGTAGCTATACCACTCCTAATGAGGACAACAGGAGCCACATGGCTAACGTGCCATGAAAACTTTTGATATGCAATTCAGGGTGCCCTTTCATTATTATTACAAAATGTTTCTGTGGCATCAGAAGTTTGCACAGTGTTTTACACCACAGATAAGAAGAGGCGGGTTGAGATTCTGTACTGCGCCTCTTGGCACAGCACAAAAGGCGAGAAAGCCACCTTTGCTCTCTTGGGATTCTAGACTGCTGCAGGAGCTGAAAAGTGCCACAGCATAAATTAGAGGAGCCTCTGGGTTCCTCAATTTATGGCAGCCCCCTGAGAGCAACCTACAGGATGCTTGGCACTGCTAGCTATCTAAACAAGAAAAGACAAATAAGAATACACAGGCCAACTGAAGAAAATGGGTAAAGAGTTGATAATTCCCCCCCCCTTCCCCCCCCGGAAGTGGTATTTTTGAAGAAGGACTTGCAAGAAGAGGAGGCTTGGGTGGAGCAAATTAGAATTCACAAATCTAAGACTGGGGAAAGGGATGAAGGAAACAGTAAGGTAAAAAGATTGGGAAAAGCTTAGGCATCAGGAGGGGGAGCAGGGAAATGAGAGCATAGATGTACAGGGGAGTTGCATTGAAATAGAGTGACACTGGTATATGTAAGAACAGAATTTGGCCCAAGAGGTTTTGCCCATTTAAGACACAAAAACTAGTTCATAGAATATCAGGGTTGGAAGGGACCTCGGAGATCATCTAGTCCAACCCCCCACTCAAAGCAGGACCAATCCACAATTAAATCATCCAACAGATTTTTGCCCCATATCCCTAAATAGCTCCCTCAAGGATTGAACTCACCACCCTGGGTTTAGCAGGCCAATGCTCAAACCACTGAACTGTTCTGGCAAGTGATTAATCCACAACAGCCTGTCATTTTTCTTTTTTTGCTGCTTTCAAAATAATGACTTACTGAGATATTAAGACTCAAAAATTGGCCATCAAACGTGTGGTAACTTTATTGTTTCATTAGGATTTTTGGCATGTTGACTTAGTGCTCCTCTTGAGCTCCTTAGTTCATCCTGCAGCAGCTGGATGAATTGACATGATTAGACTGCAGCTATGGGGCTAGAGCTTTGACAACCATCAACACTCAGTTTTTAAATGCCAAAACAGCACTCTGTCATTGAATGAAGAGGACAGGAACTGTAAAAGCATCTAGAATACAAAAAAGTATTTTGTGTTTTTACAAAATAGTAATTAATACATCTATCAAAACTCCTAAATACATTTCTCTAAATTGGAGCAACGTTTAAATCATTTAAACAGAAGGTGCTGCACTAGCTGACTACCAGCGCAAACATTGGACATATGTATCTATTTTTGAGTTTACATTGACCTTTTTTGGGTCAACTAAGGTGTCATTGGGAAGTCACATGACAATTCCACCTTGAGAAGAATGCTCACAGGTATATGGGAGAAGATTAATAAAAGAATAGTGATACTAGGGTAGAGAGCAGCAGCACATTACATGTAGAGAGCGCGTTTCAAATTCAGACAGGTTTTTGTTTTAAGGTTTTAGGGAAACATTTTTTTAAAGGAGGTTGCATTTATGCTCTTTAACTCTGCCAATCTAAAATATAAACCTTAAACTAAGAAAAGAGCCCCAAGTGAGAATCAGATCACCTCTCTATGTAAACTGCTCTTGTAATATTATTATAGAACTGTATTCATTTTGATCCTGCATTTCCAATAGAGCTAATATGGAAGAGGACAAGGAACATCACAGTGGCTACATCTCCACTGCTATACCTACAGTGCCTGTTGTTCATCACTGGTGCAGCAGCAGTAGAATCATAGGATTGGAAGAGACCTTGAGAGGTCATCTTGTCCAGTCCACTGCACTCATGGCAGGACTAGTATTCTCTAGACCATCCCAGACAGGTGTTTGTCTAACCTGCTGTTAAAAATCTCCAATGATAGAGATTACGCAGGAGCAGTGCAAGTGCTACGTATTCAGGGCTCCCAATTTTTCCAGCACCATGTTCTGAATATATCCTCTGACCAGGGGTGTCAGGGCATAGTGCTACAGCCGCAGCCCTATCTATGCTAGAACGTTCACTGTGACAGACACAACATTGCTGTCAGCGGGTACATCGTATTCTAGTATGTACGCAGCCTCCGATACTAGCACTGAGCACCAGCATCAGGGTAGGAGGGATACTGAACACATTAATATTACTGTGATAGCAGCACTGTTAGTTGAACCAGAGTACCATGACTCTAAAACATGTTTTTTAAGTATTCTTTTATATCACAATAGCTCCAAAGAGACAATTACAAATTTTATCTCCTCTCATACACATGCTACATATTCTACTTCAACGTTACAGTGAAAAAAGGAGGAAAAAATGTTTGTTTGTCAAATATCAGTAAACAAAGTTTACGGTGATGGGACAATAGCCCTGTAAACACTACATTTTTACGTGTGATTTTTGTGATTGGTTAGACGCACAGTCAGATTAACCGGGTACAAATGACATGATTCAGTTTGTGTCCACACAGCATCTTCTCTGATATCATAGCTATGTTTGTGCATCTGAACCTCCCATGCTACCTAACCATGTGCTAAGAGAGTTTTCTGTGCAAATCTGCAAAATAGCGTAACCTGCTGAACTGGGTACAATGTGCTAACCTAGGCCTCCGCCAAGGGTGACGGCCTTTTTAATCATATTGTGTGTGGATTCAAATCATGTTTAGAGCCAACCATGCCAGAAAACACTTTCAAATTTGTTTAAAAATTGTAATGCAAACAGGTCCTTTGGAATGGATTCTTCTTTTTCTTTTCAAAGACACTGGCGTTTATTAAAAATGAAAGATTTGAATGGAATTCCCTTGATTTTTGGCAGGGGTTTTTGTAAGACCCCAGTGTTGCTTGCTGTTCCTAAACTGTATATTTGTTCGCACTTCCTTCCCCCTATTCTCCTTCCTCACTTTCTCAGACTTCCCTCTAACAAGCAAATTCTCTGGATACCGAAACCGTCTTGCAGAAAAGGCAAAATACATATGGTTTACTATTCATTTTTGTAATCAGTTACTACTAAGACTGAGTTGAACGTGAGGTGTCAGTTACTTGAAAGAACTTTCAAAAATCCATTTTGGTTTGAAGTCCTAAGCTGTCAGAGACTGGGCCTATCGTAGCTGACTAAAATGTGACTTTTTTTCCTTCCAGAAAGAGTAAAGGTACTTAATCTCCTGGGATAGGACAACTTCTACTACTAAGAAATCTGCAGTTGGAGTGCGGGGACTTGTATCAAATTGAATGTTGCATTAAAATAATTACTGTATAATAAAACCCATATGAACAAATGGTATATAGTCAGCATCAGAAGTCATCATCATTGTGATAAGGATGTCAATTGTCCTATCGTCTGCTGCCCCCCCTTTCCCTAATAGCCATATTAAATTCATTCAGCTTTCAGATCTATATGGGATTTATCTGTCAGTGCAGTGCTGTAAACACAACCTGGTAACTTAAAATCAAGATTATTTGTTTCTGCTTCTTACATCAGCAACTAGAACTTATTTGGCAGTTCAGCTAATGATGTGTGAGACAAAATAGAAAATAACCGATCCACTTGTAGCTATATCTTCTTTACAATGCTGGCAGAAAGAAAAATATTTACCAATAAACTCAGCACATTTGACTGAGAAGATACATAAGGAGCACACATTTAAAATCTAATTTTACAATCTAGGCTAACAGAACTTTAAAGCAATCTGTATCTAATGATATAGAATACTTTTCTTGGTGTGTTCATGATACAGAATTATTGGAATCATTTTCCCCAGTAAATAGTAACCATTAATGAGTTTGACAGTGAATATGTTGTCATATATGCTTATCATAAAATAGCTCTTCTGTGTCTGAATGGAATTCTTATTAACAGCAATAGATAGTGAAGACTGTATGTACTGCCCAAGTTTGTATTACAACCTTGTAATGGAATGTGTTCCAGTGGATCTTAGCAAATCACAGCATGTCATTCTAACTCCTCTGCTGGTGAACTTTTAACTTGAAACTCTAGCAGAGGGCTCGGCAAGCCTTCTAACTGATGTGAAACCGTGGAAGTAAATCACTTTGCTGGGAACAAGGGGAAGTCCTGCATATTGTGTCTCCCAACTTTATTGTCTGCAGCTTCTTTGCACAATAGCGGTTGATTTTTTTAAAATAAGGATTAAATTAATTGAATTTCCAATTATGGAAAATATGGAATTCCAAAGCAGAGCTCACTCCTATATGATTCCAGAGAATGAAGAAGTTCCACACAGGGGTATTCATGATCTGCATAATACCAATGGAAATGAAGGCGAGAAAGCAGTGTCAAAATTACAACGTAGGCACAGTGACATAAAAGTATACAAAGAATTTTGTGACTTTTATGCAAGATTGTAAGTTCACTTTTTCAAGTTGGGATGTTACTGTGGTAAAATCATTTTAAAATCTGCAGTTGTTTTTTTCCAATTAAATTTCATGTAGAATGTGTTTGAATCACTCTCTAACATAAAGCTTACTATTCCTATGATAAATTTCTAGTTTTGATTTCTTCTAAAACTTGCAACAGTTGCTGTAAACAAAACCAGACTTTAATTTCAGTAGGTTTTATTTCAATTACATGTATTAGATTGGATTTGTTGAATAGACTATGTGCTCTGTGAGACTTCTGATATTAGGTTCTGTAAATTATGGGGGAAATGTGTAAACTATCCCATTGGTAACAAAAGAAAACCATTCTACATTTAATATTCATCAGTAGTGCTATAGTAATACATATTTCTCAAAGAAAAGTGAAGAAATATTTGCATTTTTGGGCGAAAGGAGGGTTATAAGGCTTTGTTTTGCTAGAAGCTGTCATTTTCCAAGTTTCTTTATTTTATGCGGTTGCCTAAATTAATGCTGAAAGTTGAATTCTAAGCTATAGTCTTCGTTTATCATTCTTAGTATTCAAGAGCTGTTGAGCTCTAAAGAAAGGTCACAATTTATATTGTGATCAATATTGGCGTCACATCCAGTTTATTCTGTTATTGGGTATGACAAATGAAGCGATTCAGTTCTCTTCCATAAAGCACAATAGTTTTGATGGAAATAGATTGTGGAGAAAGGCAGTTAGCTATAGAGCTTAAACACAACTGTTGGCACTTACATTTCTTTTTGTATGTGTTTGACTGAAACCTCTGTGGAATAAAATGTTCTTGGTCTGATACTCTTTGTCAGGGATTTTGCTCATGAAGGTATCTCTGGAAGACCCCTTTTTCTGTAAAATGCTGTAGAATAGAAAAAAACAGCAGATTAATAATAACCAGTCAAGAGTTTCTTTAACCAGAGATTAGCCTTTTTATGTGGTACAACAGGATAAGGAATAGACCAGCTTTCAACTACACCTCTACCTCGATATAATGCTGTCCTCTGGAGCCAAAAAAATCTTACCATGTTATAGGTGAAACCGGGTTATATTGAACTTGCTTTGATCCACTGGAGTGTGCAGGCCCCCCCCCCCCCCCGGAGCGCTGCTTTACCGCGTTATATCCGAATTCGTGTTATATCGGGTCGCGTTATATTGAGGTAGCGATGTATTTAATAAAATGTATTCTTGCTAGTACTTTGTATGAGATTGTTCTGTACAAGGTGCTGAGCATCCTACAACTCCTATTGAAATCAATGGGAGTCACAGGCACTCAGCACCTTGTGTGGGATTGAGCCTTTTATATCTATAGATACAGCATGATTTTTTCTGAACAATAAAATCTGTTTATTTTTGAAGAATAAAACAGATTGTTTATAAACTTCTGATTAAATGTTTGGATCAAATCAGATTACCAGCAAATTCAAATACCTGAAATTGTTCTTGTATACACTCTAGAACATGTTCTGCTAACATTTGTCAGATGTTGTGAAAATTAAGAGTTGTCCTGTGCATTCTCCATGTTACAGATAAGTATTTAATAGAAAACTTAGTCTCAAAGACTTAAGTTTTGTGAATTTAGATTTAAGCAAGAAAGCCTCTTGCAGTGTGAAAAATCAAGCGTAGACTTTGAAATTTTAGAGCAGTTCCTCATTTGATTGCAAAGGAGCTGTGTTGATTTATTGCAGATGAGGATTTGTCCTTAAAGATAGAGTTTAGTCCCTCTGATATTTGCAAATATTGCATTATAATGTTATTACTACATGCCTTTAAGAAGCACACCCAAGCATTGTTATTTGGAAGTTTTCCTAATCTCTGATTCAAATTCCATGTATCTTCAAGTCATTTTGCAAAATTGAAAAATCTAAAGAACACTTTTTACCATTTACCATTCCTTACCTCTTGATTATTTCTGCCATAGAAGTTGTTAAATATGTTTTGTCCTTTTTATTGATGCCTCAGATCTTTTGAATTGGTTTTGAATTGATATTCACTTTCAGAACAATATTCTTGCTTTGATCTCAGATGGGGAAACATCTTTAATTACTGATGAAATTGGCTCTTGTCTTCCATAATCATTGTAATTGTTTATTTCCTTTTCTTTCTTGTAGTGCTTGATTGAATGAAAATATAACCTGTTTTTTCCCTTCATACAAGCCTGAACATACATTTTTGACCAAAAGTTCTTAGAATAGGGTGCTGCTTTGACCAAAAAAAAAAAATGGAAACATCTCACAACTTTTTCCTCATTAAGGGAGTGGAAAGATTTCCATGACTTCAGTGGGAGTTTGATTGGGACAGTTGGCTTTTCAAAAGAGAAATGAAATAAAATCAGTGGAACTGAGTGTTTCCTTTTTCTTTATCCCCTCATTTTAGAGAAGATCAACAATCTCTTTTTGGTTTGTTTTTTGTTACAGTAATATGGCAAATGCTCTTGCAAATGCCATATGTGAGCGCTGCAAAGGAGGCTTTGCACCTGCTGAGAAGATTGTTAACAGCAATGGTGAACTGTACCATGAACAGTGTTTTGTGTGTGCCCAGTGCTTTCAGCAGTTCCCTGAAGGGCTCTTTTACGAGGTAAGTTGGTTAAGATGTTTTTCTCCCCTGAGTTCCTTGGCTTTTATTGTTTATAATGTACAAATGATAAATACTGACAGTGCATTTGTTTATAAAATATTATCACAGAATGTCAGGAGCATTCTTTGAAAAGAAATATCCAGCAGAGACAGAAGGAAGTAGAGACATTTCTAGTTTTGCCTTTAAAAACACATTATGGGACATTTCTATGACACGTCTACATAATGTGGGAGTGCAGGAGCTTTGCCTATAAAGACACGTTATGTACGTTGTACTGAAGCACTCAGAAAACACAGCTACTAAAATGAAATGTAACGTAGAGAGTGAAATCCTGACCCCACTGACTTTGCTGTGGCCAGGATTTCACCCAGAGTGTTTCTATTAGAGATGAGTCCATGATGTGATGTTCAGATTTGAATGTACCCAGAGTATGATGGGATTTGGATCAGGTATTCTACTTCAGGACCATCTCTAGTAAGGTTTAGCATCTTAAACAAACTGAAACAATTCTGAGTTAATGCTTTGCTCATTCCATTGTATTATTATGTCAGAACTTGTATCACTTTTGTTGTGCAGTTCCTTGGCTTAGCAATCTGGGGATATTCTAAATCAATTGTTAAACATTGAATTTAAGGGCCCTTTAGCATATTTTTCTAAAATTTGTGTTCTCTCAGGTCAAATATGTATTTTAATTTTAATCCAGTTTTTCCCCCCTCTTTTCTCTTTCATGGGGATTCAGGCTGTGGGTGGGCTATTTTCACCTAGTACAAAGTGACCTTAGAGAGAGCTTTTGACCAGTCTATAAAATATTGAGTGATTTGTATAGGACAGACTAAAGCCTGTGAGATAGGCAAGTATTGTCCATGGAAAGATTTATGTTACATTACAATCTCAGAATGGAGTAAACCAGCTCTTACTAACCTATTCACATCGCCTAGGCTTCTAAGGTGCTTCAGGCACGATGCAGTGTGAAAAGAAGCAGTATTATTATTTCAGTTAATACTCTCGCCAAGTCCCCAGGCCCTTCCTATTTTCCTGTACAGTCAGAATCTTCGGACTTTCTCTCCACCAAATGCATCTCTTGTGTCTTTATTTTCACTGGTGCTATTTCTAATTCAGGAATGAAGGAGATACAACTAGAGGTGGGGTAGTGGGAGCAGGAGCTTAGTTTGGGAGCAGGAGCTTGGTTTCAGAGCAGTGCAAACAGCTGGGTAAGGAGGGGAAGAGCATCCAGAAGCAGGAGGATGCCTGGCTGTGAGGGGGGGAAAGAGTACTGAGAACTGCAGGGCTGCAAAAGCAGAGGTAGGGAGGGGTAAGCCTGGGCAGAGGTGGAGAAGTGAGTGGGAGAGGAGTAGTGGGGAAGAGACAGTCAAGCACAGAGAAATAAATAACACATGAGGCAAGGCTACTGGGAGAAGGGAAGAAGGATAGGATTGAAGAGGCAGTTGGGTAGAAGCTATTAACTGGGACCTGACCAGGAGGAGATCTATATCTGGGACATGCTGTAGTGCAGTGTTTCTCAAACTGGGGTCGCTGCTTGTGTAGGGAAAGCCCCTGGTGGGCCGGGCCGGTTTGTTTACCTCCCTGTCCACAGGTCCGGCCGATCGCGACTCCCACTGGCCGCGGTTTGCCGCTGCAGGCCAATGGGGGCTGCTGGAAGCAGTGGCCAGTAAGTCCCTCGGCCCGCGCCGCTTCCAGCAGCTCCCATTGGCCTGGAGCAGCGAACTGCGGCCAGTGGGAGCCGCGATTGGCTGGACCTACGGACGGGGTCGGTAAACAAACCGGCCCGGCCCGCCAGGGGATTTCCCTACAAAAGTGGTGACCCCAGTTTGAGAAACACTGCTGTAGTGGGTGCCAGAAGACATCTGGAAGGAGAGTGTGTAGCATGCTGCTGGTAGGAGAGGAGACTGGGGCAGGCTGATTGCTGTGAGCTTGCTGAGAATTTGCTATTCTTTGGCTGGCTTGAAGATCCCAGTCCTGCAGGAATTCTGCAAATCCTCAGATGTTGGAGCAGTTCTTGGGTACCATTGTAGTGGCACAGTAGAAGGAAGGGCTTAAATCACAGCTCAGCCTATTTTCGCACCTAACCCAAAAAGATTAAAATCCCTTTAGTGCTCACACACAGCCATATGTGAATAGTCTCAAAGAGCATAAGCAAGTGCCCCTGTGTTGTTTGGATGTATCTAGGCTCTTTACATCAACAATGAAGCAAATGCCTCTCCCCTTCCCCATTATCTATTTAATGTCTCCCTTAACATTCTTGTCTATGGTGTGAAAGCACCTATTGTCCGGCCAAGCTGGAAGAAAGACAGGAGCCAATGGATGTGGTTTATTCATGGATTCCAAGACCAGAAGGGATGATTCTGATCATCTAGTCTGACCTTCTGTATAACACAGGCCATAGAACTTCCCCAAAATAATTCCTAGAGCAGAACTTTTAGAAAAACATCTGAGCTTGATTTAAAACTTGTCAGTGATGGAGAACCCACCATAAACCTTGGTAAATTGTTCCAGTGGTTAATGTCCCTCACTGTCAAAAATGTATATCTCATTTCCAATCTGAATTTATCTAGCTTCAACTTCCTGCCATTTGATCGTGTTCTACCTTTCTCTGCTAGTTTGAAGAGCCCATTACTGAATATTTGTTCCCTTTGTATGGTGTCAAGTATCAGGGGGTAGCCGTGTTAGTCTGTATCTACAAAACCAACAAGGAGTCTGGTGGCACCTTAAAGACTAACAGATTTATTTGGGCATAAGCTTTCATGGGTAAAAACCTCACTTCTTCGGATGCATCCTTGCTGTTTTTGTTCCCTTTTTAGATACTTACAGACTGTAATCTTAAGTTTCTCTTTGTTAAGCTAAGTAGATTGAGCTCTTCGAGTCTGTCACTATAAGGCATGCTCATGTTGATTCCATTCTAGGTGTGCGTGCGCCCACATGCGCGGCCGTTGGAGATTTTTGCCTTAGCAGTACCCGTAGGGCTGGCTGTAGCTCCCTCTAGAGCAGGGGTGGGCAAACTACGGCCCAAGGGCCACATCTGGCCCACGGCCCGGCCCCCAAGCTCCTGGCACGGGAGGCTAGCCCCTGGCTCCTCCCCTGCTGTCGCCCCTCCCCCGCAGCCTCAGCTCGCTCGCTCCGCCGGCGGCGCAATGCTCTGGGCGGCAGGGCTGTGAGCTCTTCGGGCAACGCAGCTGCAGAGCCTGGCGTGATCTGGTCTCTGTGCTGCATTGTGGCGGCGGTAGCATGGCCCAGCTCCAGCCGGGCAGCATGGCTGTAGCGCCACCAGCCACCGGTGCTCCAGGCAGTGCGGTAAGGGGGCAGGGACCGGGCGGGAGGGGGGGACTTGGATAGAGGGCAGAGGAGTTCGGGGTGGTGGTCAGGGGGCAGGGGTGTGGATAGGGGTCAGGGCAGTCGGGGTGGGGGGACGGGACAGGGAGTTGAATGGGGGCAGGGGTCCCCAGGGGCAGTCAGGAAGGAGGGGGGTGTTGATGGGGCGGAAGGGGGCAGTCAGGGGACAGGGAAAAGGGGTGGTTGGATGGGGCAGGGGTAGCAGGGGGCCATCAGGAATGAGAGGAGGGGTTGGATGGGGTGGCGGGGGCCCGGGGACAGTCAGGGGCCAGGGAGCGGGGGGGTGTGGATGGGGCAGGGGTCTCAGAGGGGCCATCAGAGAAGGGGGGGGTTGGATGAGGCAGGAGTCCCGGGCAGGGGGCAGGTAGGAGGTGGGGGCCGGGCCACGACCCCCTCCCCTAACCAACCCTCCATACAATTTACGAAACACGATGCGGCCCTTAGGCCAAAACGTTTGCCCACCCCTGCTCTAGAGTGCTGCGCTCATGCCGTGGTATATCAGGTGCTGCCGGCTCACGCTCTCTCAGTTCCTCAACGCCCCTGGTGATCAGTCGGAGTGCCTCTCTTGCTTGTCAAGAGCAAGCAGATTCTTCCATTGGACTTCGTGCCTTTGGGCCTTTGTTGGTTAGTGTTAAATAGTTATTAAGTGCATAGTTGTGATAGTTAAGGTCCCAGTGGGGACTTACCCCCCCAAGTGGGGCATGCCCTGAGTTCCCGGGTTTAAGCCCTGCTTGGTTTGTGGTAGGCCTATGCCTGCGAGTGACCCCCATGCAAGGGCAACGCTAGGGAGGGGCATGAATGGTCGCATGCCCCTCTCCAGCTGCCTGGGGAGGGCACATTCCAGAGGGGGGAAGCTGTCCCTGTCCTGTCCTGCCCACCAGCTGTGCTCTGGTACGTGCCTGGACCAGAGTAGCCTGCCTGTCTGAGCTTGCTGGAGTCGATGTGCCTGCCGCTGCCTACCCGGTGAGCAGAGAAGCAGGGGAGCTTCTTTCTTGCAGTGACGGGGCAAAATGGGAGGGCTCAGAGTCTATGAGTCTATGAGAACAGGGGGCCGCCGGGGACACTGGGGATGATCGGGGGGGGGGGGGGGGGCGAGCAGTAGGCCGAGGGCGTGGGAGGTCGTGGTGGC